AAACAATTAATTGTAGGAAGCAAGGATACTCGTAGATATTGGCGATTTTCCTTCATGCTTTAAATCTAGGCTTAGGACTAGCAGAAAAGTTATGTTTACGGTTAAGAGTAAAACTTTTGCGGCGCATTTAAAAATCGGCTTTTATACAATGATTTCTTTTTACATATTTTTTAGTATTTTTATTTGTTATTCTGTTTGTTTTTATTATTTTTCAAACCATTTACAAAATCAAACCTAATTACTTCAGGTTAGCGTCCAAAAATGTAAGTTGCTCGACTTTTGATGTTTTTAGACGACATATCTTTTCAGTGATAAATAATCCCGCCTCAGAGAACAGCAATAGATTTCCGTAAACAGCAAATCGAAATCGGAGTTCCGAGCACGAAATCTTACTTCCGAAAACGAAAGCACGAATTTCGAATCCGATTTAGATTTGGATACTTGTGGTATTTGGTTTTGGTTCGGTTAGATTTCTGAAATCGGATTTTCTTGTTGAGAAATCGTTCGGTATCGATTTGTGTTTGAAATCGGATTTTGGATTCGTTTTGATATATCGGACGCATGCCTAATTTTCTGTGAACCTAAGCACATCCCTATTGAAATTAGGCTGTCAACATTATTTTACGGAATGACATTTTGAAACGTCATTTTACTGCAGCTAATAAAAAGTCGAAGTATAGTGTTGCAAGTGTCCATGGGCGACGGTGATCACTTACCATCAGGTGAACCGTCTGCTCGTATTCCCCCTATAACATATAAAAAAAACTAATTTAAAATAAGCAGTGATTGACAAAGCTTCCGAATCGAGATTGAAAATTTTGTCAAAATCTCACTATTTTGATACAAGCGACTGGGAACGCGTAAGGTATATTCACAGCGAGAAGAGGTATCTCGATAAGCCTGAATTTCGCAATTGGCCGTTAATACTGAATTAAGATTTTATGATCCTGATTCTTCTTGGTTAAAGTCTCTTGACCGTTCTTATGGTGCATTGTTTCATGCAGTAATACAACAAAATGAGAGTTTTAAGAATAATTTGCGAAATATTATATATTGGTCTCTCAGGTCAGAAGATACTGTTTTGACCTCAGATTCATTATTTTATAAGCTTAAAGTTTTTTTTTTTTTTTTCAAAAAATCGCAATACATAAAGGTTTCCGAAGATATCTTCAGCTTGTGTGTGGAAGACGACACGACGACTGACACAATAAAGAAACGCCGCTATAACATACTATCGAGTGTTAAAGATCGTTATATCAAAGATGTTTTGCGGAAAATTCCACCTTACACGACTTTATGTAATACGGATTGTTCTAACTTTTTATGAAGAGCGGGTGGCACAAACAAGTTAGTTCACAGCAATAAGCGGTCAACAGATGAGCTTATCCTTTCGAAATTAAAACTATGTTACTCGCGCTAAGCTAAATGCACCAAAACATTTCTAAAAATAATGTTGGATTATCTAATACCATTTCGCAAAGTACCGCCATTAATTAGTTACAATCTTTTGTTCAAATATCAGACAGACAACAAGTACAGAAATATCAAGGGAGATTACAAAACTAAAAAAACATAATATTCTAGTACCCGCATCGCTGACGCCGAGTTTTGTTTGTCCGATTTTTCTTCTCAAAAAATCAGATACGAGCAATAGCCCGATATTCAATCTATAAAACTTGGATCGATTTCTTGCTTAGTTCAAATTCAGATTGATCAACGTTAATCGGGTGCCAGATCTTTTCAAAATCAGAAAATCTTTTCTATAACAGGGAGATTGGGCAGTCAAAATAGATCTTACCCAATTCCACTGGCTCCTTCTTACCTGCCGTTTCCTAGGTACTTTTACAGATCACGAGCTTACCGTTCGGTCTTTCTTCGGCACCAGTGACACTTGCGACAGTTTCCAACTGGATCGCTGAAGTTCTGCGCGACAGAGGTATGAGGGTAATCGTATATCTCGACGATTATCTCTTTTTCAATCAGAGTCAAACCTTATTAAAATGTCAGGCTGTGGAAGCCGTGTAAATTCTGAGTTCACTTAGATGCAGTGTGAATTGCAAAAATCGGTATTGGCTCCAATTCAGACAATTGAATATCTGGGCGTCACATGGAACGTCAGTCGAAATATCAAATATTTACCTGTCGAAAAGAGACTAAGAATAAAGAAAAAACTATAAAATCTCTTAGACCGCGGTATTTAGTGTCTGAAGGACGCCCAGAGAATCATGAGAATGTTAAACTAAACATTGCCGCCCTTTACAAAACTCAAGTGCTATGCTGACAAAAGATCGACCAAGGCTACTGTGCACGATCGATCACCAGGTCTTGGCAGAATGCAAATAGTTGATGAAAGCAGTGGAGGAGATTACACCAATTCATTTTTCACCCGTCGCTCATTGCCTGACGACGGATGCTTCCGGCATCGGCTAGGATGCAGTGATCGATAACATTCACTGGACGGGCGACTCTAGGCGTCCCGAACAAATCGTGGCACAGCAATCTCAAAGAGATGTGGAAAATATTCCAATCTGTTCAAAGATTTCGATCTAATGTGCTAATGAAATCCGACAACAGTAGTATTTATTGAGGAACAAGACGAATCTCGCTCAGGTCCAACAATTGACAAAGGATCCAGTTCATCTGAAGGAGTGCTTTCGAGCAATCGCCTTCGATCCGTATATAGCTTACACACAAAAATAACAGCGTTAAAATAGTCGCTAAATGTGTTAACGCTCTGTTTATAATTTTATAAATTTTATAACATGCGAGTATGCCGGTCCTGCTAATTTTATTATCTACCGTAAGTAACGATGGTTAACAAGGTAAAACCAACAGAACTAAAGTTAACTGACCATATATTCCGAAGAGAAATCCGCTTCCATAAGTAACGATGGTTTACAAGGTAAAATCCACAAAAATATAATACAAAACCATATTTTTAAGAGTAAGGCATAGCAGCTTTTCCTCTCGAATTAGGGCGCCCGGCTGGGGAAGTATTTTTTTTTTTATTTATATAGGTAGGCAAATGACTCTATCCCACCTGATGTTAAGTGGTGATAAAGTCCAAACGCGAAGATAGCTGGTACAGTAGTTATAAACTGCTACACCAACCACCCTTACCTTGCCGACCTGCAAAAATGCTTCTTCACGCCTCTCTTAAAGGACCCCAGACTATAGGAAGGAGGGAACACGTACGCGGGTAAAGAATTCGTTGATCGGGCGTGAAAAAACGCCGCACCTTGTTCAGGACTCCCGAGTTTGCGTGAAGCTGTTTTGATTACGGTTTCGATGTAGTCCTTTGGATTCAGGTCTGAGCGAACTTCCATACCGAGCATGGTAATGTTGCTCGGTAGCGCCAGTGTTGTGCTCTAAAGAGAGGGAAGGGGAAGGAATGGCGATGTTTTGACCGTGAAAGCGCAAGCCTGTGTTTTGTTGGCATTGAATTCAACCAAGTTCCTGGTACCCCATTCGGAAAAGTGGTCCAAAGCCTGATTGAATTCAACGACAAGATTCTCCCGTTTCTCCCTGGTTTCTACCTGCCCAGCCGCTGCGTGTCCAAAGTATCTCGCATGTCAACCTTATAATCTTAACCTCAATAATCTCCACCTTACAGAAGAACATAGTAAAATAATACTTTCTTTTGATGGTGTTGTGTTTCTGTCGGTGAGTAAGGTTCCAGTGCTCCACTTGGTAGAGTATTGGGTCAGGGTCAGCGTCTATATGCTATGGTGCCGCTTATTATCAGGCGGGCCATAAGTTTATTTGCCACTCTTTTAACATAAAAAAGAGAGATCCCATTCAAATCTCGTCAACATAGTATAAAGTGTATCTAACACTCGTAATCAGCAATAACATTACGTGAAGAACATTGTAACATTAAGCAAATTTTGCACAGACAAGTTTGTCAAACAAGTAATTTTTCTTTTGATTCCGGCAAAAATAAGCATTTGTCTCTATTAATCACTTTCAACGATATTACATAAATTACTATGAGTAGGTATAGACCGAACTCATAGGTTGACGTAGTCGCATATTTTCGCCAACGCCACGAGTATTTCGGTGATGGACAAGTGTAAATATAGTCGCGCATGTCCTCGCCATTGACTTGAGGAAGTGATGGATTTGCGCAGGTCGAGCCGTCTATGCGACTGACGACGTGCGGCCTCAGCCCGATCCGGCGGTTGTTTTCAATAAAAATGTCAGGTTGGCGCGGCGACGCCGCCGCACGTATTTAGCCTGGCGTCAGGCCAGCACGGTGCATAAGCCCCTCCCTCTCCCTTACACGCGCAAGGTCGCCCCATCTACAGAACGATAGATAGCTTATTCTGGACACCCCCTTACAAAGTCATTCATTTCAATCTAACCGAGCTTTCCAACAATGCTGTATGCATTGTGCTATGGAATTTCAAGTGTAGCAGCCGCCACCTAAAATATCCATTGCAGCTCTATCAAATTAATGTTGCAACTAGCAGAAACTGGAATTATTTCTAGCTTTTAAAAACTTAAATGAATCTGCCTGTATCATATCCTCCCAAATAAATTAATGTGAAAGATTTCTAGGTCACCTACTGAAACGTAAATGCTAATTGTAGATTCGCATTACACGGGAAACTTATAAAATGTCTTTGAAGTTAGGTTAGACGGCCGTCAAATATTAAAAGCAATTTTATGACTTTCAAACGGACATTAATAAATCATTGGGGAACCACCAGTTCAAGTAAACAAACTTTTCATCGGTTTAAACAAGGCACTGATCTTTTAACAATTGAATACATTTTCAATAAATCCAGAACATTCAAACATGTAGATTAACTTTACTATTGTTAACAATCTTATTACCATTTAATTTGTTTACTACTCTTAAGAAGCGAATACAGCTAGAAAAAACCACGGAATGATTCATTCACACCTTTGCCTACACAGTAAACACGTGCTACAGCATTGTATTTTTGGTCATGAACTTTGCGAATGTCATCTGTTATTAGTATTCTCGTTTACAGGTGACACCTGGCACGCCGGCCGGCCGCGAGCTCCTCCGAGGCGATATCATCGCTAAGATCGACGACTACGATGCGCGCGACCTACGCCACGAAGACGCACAGAATCTTTTTAAGAATGCCCCCAACCAAATCAGAGTAGTTATCCAAAGGTAAACTAAGATTTTTATCAGTTATACTTGGAAATCTTCTATTTGTCTTATCATATGGGATAACTTGATTGCAAATTCTTGTATGTTCATTTATAGCTATACTTAGTACATCGAAATTGAAATCAGTATCATTAAATATCATACCGATACTCTCTGTACGTACTTTCATACATATTAAAATCTATGAGTCATCATTCGTAAACTATAACTGTATCACTAACAGATATCAGAAATAATGTATGTAATACATTCTGTAATAGATGCTCATGCCATATGGATAAAAAGCTATTACAAGCCTTTAATGGATCCGCTCAATTTATCAGAGCACAATAATCAAATGGAGTTAATATTTTCTAGGAAGTTTAACAGACAGATTCAAAAGAGGACTTTGTCCAGATAAATATGTACCCACTGTGTGAAGCTGCAATTTTAAGAGTTACGGCATCGTGTGGACGAGCAACGGTATTAAGCTGTGTTTTTTGATCTGTCATCTCAGTTGATTGTTCTAACATCATAGTATAACGACAGGGGAGGTTCGAGCGCGCACCTGTACTCGGTGCCGCGCGCTTCGGGCAGTTACGTAGGCCGAGTGCCGACGCCCACCTTCTATCACGAGTTCGCCGAGTAAGAAACTGCACCCATTTAGGTGTCCTGGACTGTCACGTTACCCTTGATCTAGGTGTTAATAATATTATCCATACTGATCTAAATGCCTATTTCTGAGAAACAAAAATGTAGGTATGTTGGGATTGTGTTTTTGGTCCTTCGAGCTTTGGACATATTTTTAAAATTTTGTTGGAATAATATGGCGTGTAAAGAAAACGTTGAATTGAATTGCCTCGTTATAATTACTTCAGAAATCCCAACATATATTGCACTATCGATTTTAGAGATGTTACAGAGCTTTCACGCGGACTTTTTGTGTAAAAAGTCTTTGTAATTCCATGGCCACAACATGCTAATTAAAGACGAGAAAGCCGCCTTATCTTTAAGTTAAATATAAATATATTTTAATCTGTTAAGATTTTCAGTTTGATGTAGAATGAATTTTTAGAGTTTACCCGGGCTACATAATTATATTTTCCCATTAAAAAGGAGAAAAAAGACGCGTGCGATGCTGAACGCTGTTAAGCTAGTTTAATTCAATGTGTATCGATGATGTTCGTCTTCCGAAAATTACTTATGAGCCACCTCCGTAACTTCTCCAATCGATAAAAATATACATCCTGAAAATGTGTTTTATAGAAACACGGTACCTGTACCAGTGGTTTGGTGCATAGACGATACGTCTACTATACCATAGTATTTCGCATGATATCGTTAAAATGGTAATGAAATACTCCATGAGTTACTGTAAACTTAAGCATCTGATGTTTTATTTAATAAAAATTTTGTTCTTTATGGAAATATTTTAATCCTTTTTATAAATACGTACCTATACTTCCTACTCTATTTTCTTCTCTGTTATTTTATCTATTTAGCTATCGATACTGCAGTTTTTGTTTGCATGTGTAAGTACTTTAAAAATATGGTTTAAATCCTACAACATTTCGATAAAAACTGAAAACAAGTCGGAACATATTTTTAAATTGAGTAATGTTGTGGTTCCTATGTATATGGTCAGAAGCATCTTGAAGATATTTCAGCAAGTTTGTTTGTTTGTATTTGTTCTAAGTAGCTCGCACTAAGTGGTGCATGCTGTAGTATCAAATAGGAGCATACCGACTTAGTGGAATAAAATATCCTTACATATTTATGTGTACCATACCATGACATCTTCCTATTCCAATGTTTTCACAATACAACCTTTGAAATACCTACATTATGTTGTTATGATTGTTTTATGTTTATACCTGAATATGTTAAAGTCACGGACCTGAAATTCAGGTCCGTGGTTAAAGCATTGTCCCAATATATGCAGTATGTAGTACGTGAACATGATATGTAGTTATAAAATAATAACAAAAAATATATTTTTAAGTACCTGTTTAATTTTAATGTCATTGGCGTCATTCTTAGATCTATAATGTCATAAGTCAAGGATAAAATGCCATAGTCAACCGCTGCACCCAAAGAATTCAGTTTGAAAAGTAATTTAGCAAAACCATGGACAAAGTAACTTACGCAGTAGACGTTTTTGTATGTAAAATTGATAATGCGCAGGCTACCTCGTCTATGGTCGTTGCTCAAGAAGTTTGCCAGAATGTACCTATACGTAGTTTCAAATGCGTAAATGGCATTAAAACGATCATGTTGGCGTTGATTCATTAGAATGGTCATTCATTCGCATGTTGTGTACAATAGGGACGCGGACCGCGAGCACCCTGCGGGCACGCCGCAAGCGCCGAGATCACCCATCCCCAATTACGTTCCACCACCATACAGGTAGGACATGCGTCGCCACTACTAATGAAATAAAATAAAATTAGCCTTTATTGCTGTTAAAATTATGAAACATTTTCTTAATCTAATTAACTATAGCTCGAGATAATAAGTCTTGGTCACCCATCCACTGACCAACCTTAACTTCTACGATCGCAGGTCGAACGCGCTATCCAATATCGAAATTTTTAAGGGTTCGAAATCGCTTTCAAAGTAAATTGCTTGTTTCGACAACAAAACCCCTAATTCTGATGAATTGCCTTTATTTATTCCGCATAATAATGATTAAAATAAAAAAGAAACATGACGAAATGTCGTAGAAATTTGTTTTATCATATTTGTCAAATAAACACTGTACCACTGGACTGAGAGCTGGAAGTCGCCAGACCTACGTCATTTTGGCAAAGCCGTAATTTTCCATATGAATAGAACAATAATATGTACTTTACAATGTATTTCTACTCACTGGTCCTGAAGCATTTGTACCTACTAACCTACTTTATATTCGCAAAGGTACCTATGTTAATTCTGCTAGACGACGTGAAGTTTATAATAACCTAAATTTTGGTATAACGCCATCTATTGCTACCAATGGTACTTAAATAATGTGGTTCTTATCTTGAGGTTTTTAATTAATCGATATTTTTTTTCTTCTTTTGCTGACGTGGCGTCGAATGTAACTTGAAAATGAATGAAATTGTTTACTTTACAAACACTTGTGAGTTAGTTAGCAGTAATGAGTAATCCCTACTGTACATATAAATCTATACAAATACTTACACCAACAGCTGTTGTTATTTGTGTCTAAAATAAAACTAACCAAAACACGTTAAATTTTTTGAGTTGTCGTGTCATGTCGAAAAGACATGCATACCTAAACACCACCGCAAGACCCAAATAACAATGTTGTTTGATCTTTCTTTTGTTTATAAATTGTGATTTCGCATGTTTTATATTAAAACTTCTTTTTAAATTTTAATGGTTTCAAAACTACGTTCTTAATGCATTCAAACTTTTTTTTATAGTTTACCCATATATCTATTTATGAATCTACTGGTTTTCGAGGCGAGCTGTTTACAAATCTAATTTCCTGTTCACTGTTAGTAACACCAAATAAATTGCATACATACATAAACAAATAACGCTTTCATAGAACAATACAATAATTCACGAACGCGCAAAGAAAGCAGACATCGGGTAAAACAAATCTTCTACATGACTATGAACTAACGATTTGGACTTAAGCGTACTTATTATAATAATGCATAGAGCAACACGACTCACGACCGACGCGGCCAAGGAAGGCAAGGAAGGCCGGCTAGGGAAGTAGCCATAGTGACACAATACTACTGAAATCATTCTGACACTTTTTGCGGGGGGAGGAATATGCACACAAAAGCAGTCTAACATAATTTCGCAAATAACGAAATTGTAACTACGACACTCACACATAAAAAATGACTACACTAAATCGTGTATAGATGAAACTTAAGAATTTTTATTGTTTTTTATCGACTCGCCAGTACAAATTTCAGATCTGTCAATCTGAAATTTGTACTGGCGAGTCGATTGCTTTGTCGAGCAAGTCTGAAGATTGAATATCTATAAAATAATATTCATTTTAAAAGTGATTCCATTGAAATAATATGTTAATAATTCTACTAACATATGAAATTATACACCATCCTTTTTTAAGTTTGATGTTGCAGATCTGTTTTTACAGTAAATTACTGAACAATTTGGCATTTTTTTGTGCTCTGACTTACACTCTCGCGACTTGAGTCGGTCTAGTAAAATATCCGAGCGTAACTAGTTTTGTCGTGAGCTGTCCCCCTAGCATGAGCACCGCGATATGATATATATTGCGATTTTATCACGCTTAATTGTCAAATTACTATGGTGTTTGACAGTAGGTAAGACGCGATAAAAAACGTGATATAATATAAATTATTGTGCTCATGCTACAGGGACTGCCCTAACACCGGGGGAAAATCGACAGAGGGGAACGCTGTGAATGTCTACTCCCCTCCTGGCCGCGTCAGCCTTGTTGCTCTATGTAACTAACATTGTCAGTTGTTCTCTGTACCGTACCGTTATGTTACAAATATTTTTAAAGCTTTTTGATATACCCATTGCTACGCTCATGCTACGAGGACTGGGGCCCAATTCTCGCGGCATAGATATTATATCACCTTCGATAAATATCGAATGATCTGGCTTTTATCGAAGGAAAACCTTTTTGCCCTATTCTCACCATGTCGCAATAGATATTTATCTACGGATGATCAGTAGATCACATACATCGACTGGTAAAAAGCCTTCGATATATAAATATCTATGGATCTTGGCATGTCAATCTTGTTATTTCAACTTTTTTTACCTATTATTTATTGTGTTGTCGTGTGTCATTGCCAATTATTGTTACCTCAAGATGTTGTTAACTGCCTTCATAAATAATTAGTAAATAAAGAAATAGGTAAACAATGGTGTTGATTCTGGCGTGATTCTCTAAACTTAAAACTAAATTTAACATCAGTCTCTCTTTTTCATTCTGTATAGAGAATGACAAAGAAACACTGTTGTCAAGTTTAAGTTTAGAGAAACGTGCCAGAATCGACACCAGTTTATATTAACGATGGATGAGTTGATTCATGTTTTCGGTAATGATTTAATAAATGACGTGATTGCTGCTGCTGTGCTAAGGCGCCGCCGTTGTGAGAGCAAGAGGGCCCATTTGAAATGAGGGACGCCGACTTCATAAAAAAAATACGTTTAAACAAAAATTTGATTAGAAATCTATAAAGTTATGAATGACATTGGTATCGATTATGACACGATTCTCTAAACTTAAAACTAAATTTAACATCAGTCTCTCCTTTTCATTCTGTATGGAGAATGACAAGGATACACTGTTGTCAAATTTACGTTTAGGTTTAGAGAATCATGCCAGAATCGACACCATTTTCTTATTGACGATGCGAAGTTTTTGGCCCAAATTTTGAATAAAATTTGGGATTTCTGCGAGAGCGGTTGGCGTCTTATTTTAATTATTCTAAAATTCGTTCATAGTGGATATTGTGAAATAAAATTGGTGTGATTTGGTGTTACAACCGTCTGCGCAACTGAAGAATTAGTGGAATCTTTAAAATATACGCTATTCCGGTCAAGTGGACGCGAGAACTTTATTGTAGTTTTGACTACCTCACAGAAGCTTAGAGTAAAAGCCAGCTCCATAAATTTCGTGCCAAACACTCCAAGAAACATTAGAATGCATCACACTGACATTCTAATGTAAAAAAAGAAGAATATAACTAAAGATTAGGCTGTATGGGCATTGTTCCCTTTGCCTTCCCTGAAAAGGGAGAATTTTAAATAATATTGACGTTTCATTATACATAACGTTGAAATTTTAAACGCATACAATTTAGGTAAAGTTGAGATTTCTTATACTCAAAAAATGTATACTCATATTTAATATGAATGGAATTCATAAAATATAAAATATCATTTTGTTGCTTGTAAAATTCTGCTCTAATTTATTATTATTTTATATAGACTATGATATTAACTTAATCGAGAAAAACGGAACGCTTTCGGCAGTGAAAGAATATCTACGATAGATATAATAATCATTGGAATATCGAAAATCCACGAGAATATCATTTTTTACCATCAGTAGATATTTTCAATAGATATCCCTACTTTCGATATTATCTCGAAGCCGATATAATATCTACGCCGCGAGAATTGGGTCCCTGGTTCTTGATTTCTATAACACCAGTGCTTCAACTATTTATCGGGATTAAACTTACTTATTAAACGGGTGACATGCTTTAAGCATGATTATTTATCATTCACCCTTTATAATTATAAATTATCATTATTTAAACAGTCCATAATGATAAATAATTATCATGTTTTAATCCCATGATAAGTAGTTGAAGCACTGGTGTTATAGAAATCAAGAACTATGAGTACCACAATTTACTTAATATTAGGTTTTTTATTGCGTCTCTAACAAACTCCATTCTAATTTAACAATTGCGCGTGATAATAGCGAGCTATTTATCTCTATAGCTATTTATCGCGGTCATCATGCTAACGGAGCAAATTTACAATTCAGACTCCAAATAATTCGAATAAATATTTCTATCAGATTATGCGTGATAAAAACGCGTTATATATCATATCGCGGTGCACATGCTGCATGATCTTATACCATTTGTTTTTTTATTGTGTCTAACTTTCAAACTCCATAGTAATTTGACCATTAAACGTGATAAAAACGCGTTATATATTATATCGCGGTGCTCATGCTGCATGATCTTATACCATTTGTGGAAACTACATAGAGGAGAAGATTTTCACCCCTAACAATGAGTTTCCAAAACGCAAACTTGCAGCTTAATACGCATGACTGCTGGCTGTTTTTCCTGATAGTTGCGGCTTGGGAGTTATTATTACAGAAATAATCTGGCATTTATTGTCTATGCGTGGTTCATTTTAGGTCCATATTAAAAGACCGCTTTGAAGTCGGAGACTAGGATCTTGAGATAATGTTTCCATAAAAAACAGCATCACAAGACCGTAGTTAAAATCGCTCTCAGAGTTAAGAGCGATCTATTAATACGGGCCTTAGTCTCTATTCTCGCTTTCGATCAGGCAAATTGTGGGACATAACTCACTCATTTCCTTATGTTATCATCATGCAACAACATTGTTGAAATCATCTTTTGTAACAGGACACCCAGTCCGATGCCTGCGTCGGGATGGCGCGGCCCCGAATCTCTGCCGCGAAGCACGCCCGTGCCGCATTATTCGCCGTTCCCCGTACTAACCGAGGGTGAATACAGGACGATGCTGCTGTCGCCGACGTCGACACGAACCGATGACACTGTCGACGAGTCGATACAAAGCCAGGTCAGTGAACTCGAAACTCATTTAAAAATAACTTCACAAGCACTTAAAGAAATCGAAAACTACGGTATCGGTTCGAAAATCTTCGGCGGGAGACCTTGCACTGGGAAGAACCGGCAAGATATATATATATATATATATTTTAATTTTTTAATAATTTATTTAATTCATACTTACATCAGATTACATTTATAAGTGAGGCCCTGACTTCCAGACTAGTATAAACTGTATTTCAGAAGTCAGTGTCTTACCATTAAAGATACACTAGGTGGTACTGAGTAGGTACAAACTTTTTCAAATCTAAAATTATTAAAATGAATATAATCCAAAATATGTATATCTACTTAGTTAAATGAGAATCAAGTGTGCATGCTTGCTTGTGGTGCGTGTGTGTGGATGTATGTGTCTGTGTATATGTTAAAACATGTGTATGTATGAGTGTGTGTAAGTATGTTTATTCCAAAATATAATGCATACTATTACAATATCATGTCATAAATATACAAATGCGTTTAGAATATAACATATGGGTTTCAAGTATGTTTCCACTTCATTACTATTTAAAGACAACAGGTACCCAAATACATTTTCTTTTAGCTGGCGATAATTGCGTAAGCTCAGTTGTATTTTTGCCTCTAAAAGATTGTGAAATGTTAAAAATAAATAAATATTTCTTTGTGCAAAGGTGCTTCTCGTAATGGATTGAGAACAACGGAACCATCCTTGAGAACAACCGACCAGAGAAGTTGGGTGACGTCTCGGAAGGAAAAGCATTATTTTAATAATTAGGTGTGTTTGAGCGATTTATTGATAGGCCAATGAGCGACCTTACTTAGTGTGACCAGCGGGTAGGTGACCGACCACGTGATCTTTTCCCGTCAACCTGGCCAACCACCATCAGCTTCTCTAGGCGGTCAGTGTTTCTGCGAGCGATGTGTCCGAAATACTTTAGTATACGCTGGTAGCAGATAGTGGACAACCTTGTGGTGATGCCGAGTTCCTCAAGTATGGACACGTTGGTCCGGCGTGCAGTCCATGGAATTTTTAGCATCCGCCTCCAACACCACATCTCAAAAGAGTCGACCCTTGCCCTTTCGCTCTGTCTTATCGTCCAGGATTCAGCGCCATAGAAGAAAATCGAGAAGACCAACGTGCGCACTAGCCTCGCTTTGGTTTTGCAGGATATGTTGCGGTCTTTCCGTATCCTAGTGAGTTTAGTAATCGCTGCTTTGGACATTTGGATTCTTCTTCAGGCTTCTGCTAGTGCTGTATAATACGTCAGTCCACGTAGCGTAGGAGCATGAAAAATCAGTGCAGTGTCATCTACAAATATCAATAGATATACGTTAAATGTGTACTGATTTTTTTAGTTCTTGTTACTTCCGTTGTGGCGCTGCTGTTCAAGTTTCAACACAAAATATGACAATGTCATTTCGCACTTGCAAAAACTATTCCAATTTGGTATTGGTTCGTGCTAAGCACGGAGGAAAAACAAAGAGGAGGTGTGGTGATTAAATTTCCTCAAGAAACGACGCGTGATAATTTGCGGGATGCGGGGTGTTCAGCTCCGCCCACTTCTCAATATTTCATCTATCGGCTAATAGCAAAACTAGCTTAGGTTGATATTTATGTTACTACGTAGTAGTTCAGCTATCTAACACTAGATGTTCAAAAGTTTTGTATATAATGGGACGTACTCAGAACTTGAAGCTTCAAAAAAATGAAATATGTAGCTAAATAAATAAAATAAACGTTAACAAATTTGACCGATGTAAAAATTTTTAAGGTATAATTTTTATTATTTTAAAACATGTAAGCTTGATGAAAAAAAATCCAGGCGGACCAGGCAGCAGACGAGACTCGAACCCACACCAGCTCCCGTCTGCTGCCTGGTCCGCGTGGATATTTTTCTAGTTATATTTTCTTTACATTTAAATTTTAAGGTAGTTTAAAAATAATAGACAAAATGTTATTACAAACATAATTTTATTAAAAAACATCAATTACCTGTAAGTAATAGTTTTGGTTAGTTGTTGTCGGTTGGTTGCCCTATCGTTTTGTATTGTGGCAAAATGCTTAAAACAAATATCAATATATTTTTCTGCAATCGATTTCATCAGAAATACAACATGATTAACTGTAGGTGATTGGTCAAACATATGGTTGGCCGATTTTTTTGAAACAATCTTGTCCAATAAGTGATTTTAATGTATTCGATACAATTTTATGTTTACGAAAGTTAAGTTACGGAGTATTCAAAGATTGCGATTTAACACTACGAATACTGCCTTCGGTCCGTATACATATTTTTATGACATCTCTAGATGGGAAAGTAAGACCACCCTTATTTTTAGTTTTTATCAAATCAAGGTCACTATCGTCGTAGTTATCAGCATATAATTCTTAGAGACAGCTCTCACATTTGATCTTGGAATGTAAATATTTGACCACATACCCAGAAATATATGCTACTATTTGACGGCGCAAATAGTCACCTATAGTTGTATTAAATTGTTCATCAAATTCCAATAACATATCGTCAGGCATAGGCTCGACATCCGTGCTATCCGAAGACTCGAAACTCATTTTATTTAAAATGCGATAACGATTTGCACAGAAGATTCATTTAAAATGGAAATATCTTCTTCTTCTTCTATGGTGTCCAATCCGGTCTATTAAGTTTTGAAATCCATTGCTGTTTTAAATTATCGTTGGATGGAAATCTAAAACGAACATAAAAATAATTAAAATTTATTTACTTGGTAAAATAATTTAATACGTATTACGGCCCTGGATATTTGTAACGTTTAAAAAGTTATTCTATATGACGACAGATGGCGGCCAGTTAGTAATATATTGATAAAATTACTGTTTTAGATACTAAAAGTTATTTAGGAATAAGTGTATAACAGTTTTCAGTATTTACGTATGATTATTACAATATACTACTGCAAAATTATACGTAAACTTGTGTATTTTCTTCCTAAAAGTGTCGCCATCTGGTGTCAAGTAGTAGAATTTTAACGCTGATAGCTGAGGCTGAGAATGTTCTAGAACTTATATATTTAATTACGTATAAAATTACTTACAAATGAAATGTGATGCCATCCATATTATCAGAACGTCTGTCTGAGTAACTTTGACATAGTAAAACACAAAACTTCATCCTTTTCTTGTTAAAAACGCAAAAAAACACTTATAATGCGAGTCTCGTTAAGTGTGCACCTGACGAACGCTGAAAGCATACTGACTTAGGCCCCGCCCACAATGATGACGTCAGGACCTAGTTGAAAATCGCAGTGCACAGTTGCTTAGGCCAGCTCCTCTTTGTTTTTCCTCCGTGGTGCTAAGGGTTCAGTACAATTCAAAATTCAATCTAGGCTGTTACAAGCACTTGAGAAGGTCGAAAAGCCTTCGTTCGTAAATCTACGGTTAAAGACCTTTTTAGAGACGGACCGGCAATATACTCAGCAAGGGCGGTTCTTTTTTTCTCCCTGTATTATTATATTATTCAGAGTCATCAAGTTGAATCATTTCTTCAGTAATAATCCATGAAGTCACCTTTAATCACACAATTTATTTTTATTTATTTATTTAAACTTTATTGCCAAACATAAGCAAACGGCGGACTTAATGCCATAGGCATTCTCTACCAGTCAACCAGTATAATTATATAGTTGGAGACAAAATAGTATGGCGATAGAGCAAAGTTGCTAAAAATTTAATAAAATGAACAATATCAACACAAGAAAACAGCAATAAAATAATAATACTTAAATACAAATTGATGCACATATATAAAATACTCATATAACCATACATAAACATATACATATAAATATATATATATATATACATATGCATAATACATAAAATATAATATATATCGATGCAAACTATAGGGAAAAATCACGTAGTCAGGTAGTGTTCACGCACAAGTTTTTTGAACTCAAACTTCTTGTCAGTACTACGTATGCTTAGTGGTAGAGCATTCCATAGGCGTATGGCAGTAATAGTGAACGATTTCGATCCAAAGCCAGAATGATTAACGGGAAATTGGTAGTGTAAGATTTCTGCACGAGCGAAGATCACGTTGATTGGAAGTGCCCAGAAATTGAAATTTAGATTTCAGGTACTCTGGAGCACATGGATCGTATAAAAGCTTGAAGAGCATGCAAAGTAATCTAAGGTTTCTTCGGCCATTGACAGGCAACCATTGAAGTTGTTCAATTTGAGTTTCTATAAATCGTGAGCGACATCATCTTTTATCCTACTTTAACTAAATGTATACAGTTTTTAAATGGGTTCTGTCTAGCAGAAACTTTTGTTGCTCCAAAATTCATTTGGCATAAAACACTCATAATCTTCTGTAAATTAATTTTTCTAAGGCAAAATTTTATTAAATATAATTATTAATTGGCCGAATGTTGATGTCCGAATTCACAATAGCATACTTTTAAGATGGCAAAATTTAATTAAGCATAATTACCTTTGCCATATTTTATCTGCATAATATTGCTAAGAATAATCGGTATTTGTGGTCAATGGGTTAGGTTAGGTTAGTGTTGTGACCTAATATTAGCGCGAGCCGAGCAAGCGAAGCAAGCGTGCCATGGCAGCGGCCGGCGAAGCGCCAGTCACCATAGATAAAAGATAAATAAACAAGTAAAAGTAATTTTTTTGTATCCCAAAAGACGATTCTGATTGTGGCTTTCTGCGATATAATGGTTCTGCTTTTTTATCATTGTGGATATTAAATTGATGCCTATAGATGATTCTGGCTTACAATATAATGCGTTTGAATGTCTGCAAAATGCGTGAATGCCAAATGATTTTCTGCGAAATGAAGTTTATGCCATCTGCTGATATGCATATTAATATTATGATATTAAAAGTTCTTTGTTACAAGGTAGACCCTTTTTAATTACGTAGAGTTTAAAACACTGAGATCTTTTTTAAATTATTATTTTAAAATAAAAAGACCAATATAATACCATGGCCCA